CAGTTTTTTAGCTAAACTGGTATAAAATCACATCTCTTTTTAATGTAGTTCTTTGTAGACAATCTACAGAAAGCTCTTTTTTCTTTTAGTCTGTCTAACAGGAGTGAGTTCTCTTTTTCTAAAAACTTCTTGCTAAATATCCATTATTTCTGCATTATTTCAGTTAGAGTTGGAAATTTTATCCAATTTTGTCAAATTAGATTAATGAAAATTTATGAACAACATTTTTGGGAATAATTTTTTATCATCGTAGTGACAATCAAGCAAATGTTACTGTCTTATCAGATGTGACAGAGAATAATCCATAAGAAATGTTACAGTATGAGTAAAAAAAATTTTTAGGGCTTATGTAGCTCAGAACTTTTGATCTTAACACTTTAATGTGCTAAACAAATATGCTTTCACTTAAAAACCAGGTATTTATGTCTTCAAGTATTTTACAGATAAAATGAGGTGGGGTAATGTTATTAAGTGTTTTTATCTTTGGGTACAGAAGTTAATTTCTGGAATTATAAAACATTTACATGATCTAAGAAAAGGCAATACAGAAAGCAAACAAACTTATTAGAAAAGATTTGAAGTAAGAATGAACAGAATTCTCATATCTGGAAATGAGACACAATTTAGAAAGAGTGAGTGGATGATGAATGGACATCCACAGCAGAAGTCACTTTCTGTAAGTCTCAACTGCACATTGTACAAATACATCCTCACTGGAAAAAAGGATGTTACCCAGTCATGGAATAAGTGCTTACAGAAGAAATTTCCTCACCTCGCTGAATATAAAGATGGCATAGTATATAGTATTAAATAAATTTGGTTAGATGTTTAAACAAAAAGATATGAAAAATGTTTTGCAGTATTTTTTCCCCCCAAAAGGAGTTATATATGAACGCAGACTTCCTTTGTTTTACTGCTGAAATGGCATATGCTGAAATACAGAATTGTGGCAAAACACAAAAGCAATGAAACAGAAAAGAGTGAAAAATCAGTTGGCTGTGATTTAGTAGTTTTTTACAGAGTTAGTGCATGCTAAGATTTTTGAAAATTTAGCTATTTGATTATATAAACACTGGTCAGACTGCGATAGAGAACTGATGATAAATTCTTGCAAGGAAGAATAAAGGGAACAAAAGGATCAGCTGTAAGGATATTTACACTACTATTGTGAAGCCAGTATCATCACTTTTCACATTACTGCCTATTCAGCTTTTTGCTGCATATGAGATAGGAGCTCTTGAGCACCAGACTAGAAAAAATTCTATTTATACTCAAATGTGGTCATCAAACTACTGGAAACATACCATATTTTTTTTAATCATCTATTATTATCATAATATGCCAAGCCCGATGCTGAATCAGAAGGTAGCTGTGTTAGCCATCATAAGGGCACATAACAAAAGACAGGATCCCTGTCCCAAAGAGCTTACAAACACTCTTTAAAATATCTGTCAGTATTCAGCTGGTAAATTTTTAATTTTCTGCCTGTCCAGAACTACATGTAGTCTCTGAGCTCAACCTAGCAAATGGCTGCTGCCTTCCATAGGTCTTTAACTTGTTCAGAGTGCCCCCAGCCCTTTAGCAGATTGGAATCCCTCTTTTCTCTTAGAGCAGTTGAAAACAGACCGCACTGTGTGTATGGCATGAAATGCTTTTTTCTTACATTGTGTTAGATTTCAGTCACGAGGAGCACTGTGGTAAGTGCTCTTGTTCAAAACTGTTGGCTGCAGCTAGCAGGATAGATACTTTTAGAAAAAGGAAAGTTTTTTCAAAGTTACACTTGATAAATTTGATGTCGACTCTTAATAAATCAATTAGAGAAAGAATGATAGTATGGAAGAATTATCTTATTTTCTAGGGTCAGGAAAATAACTGTAATCTTTTTGTTTCCTATTCACTTTCAGTTCTTCTCTCCTGCAACCTGACTCAGTCATTCTTATTTGCTCTCATGTTGAAAAGACATTCTAGTATGAGAAAACTCAATCTAAGGAGCTCTGGAAAGAAATCTCTCATGATCTGTGTACTTCTGGGTAGTAGATGATAATGCAATCTGAAATCTTTTGTCTTTTGTCATTAGCTGTTGCTTATCTTGGTTGTTTGTCAGAGATGTATTGCACTTGTTGTATGGCTGGTTCCTGGCTGGTTCCCTCTCTATGTTTTGTTCTCTAAATTGGTTGCTGGATTTGAAGGGATTTTGTTTCTTTGCTTCCCTCCCCCCCGCCCGCCGAACCAGTACCCATTACTGTCCATTTTGTGTGTGATCCAATGAAAACAGAGCACCTGCTTTAGCTGTTGATGTATGTTCTAAATAGAGTAATAAGATGAAAAATTAACTTCCTCCTAGAGAATGCTGTTTGCCTTTCTTATGGTGGGAACATGACTTAAAAAAGATGTTTTTACTGGTAAAAAATCCACCTTTTTTTGTAACTTCTTTTGTTGCTTATTGGTCTCTCTCTGCCTTTTCTAAATGTCAAGGCTTTTGTTTGTTTGTTTCAATTCAACTCCACCATTGGCCTGTACACAGTATCTTGCAGTTATTTCTGCATGTTTTGCACAGGTTGGCCTCTTTCTTGAGAATTGTCTCTGCCAAGAGGAATTTTTGGCTATGTAGCATATTTTGTATCACCATTCTTCCCATCCTGCCCACATAAGTCTGCTCTGAAACCACAAGCAACTAGGTAGGAGTAAGAGCAGACATGTGCCTGCTCTAGTTTCTGCCAGTTTCTGGCATCTGGCTGTACCCACTAGCAGGAAAATCGTTTAAATCACCTTTCTTTGCCTCCTTTTGCACCTTGATCTTTCTCTATTATGTACTGAGCTTGGAGCCCCACCTATTCATTTTTCAAGAACTCTCAGCAAGGAAATCCCCTTTGTATGTCAGGCATAACTACTGTAAAACAAGAGAAGGATGTTTTGACTAAGTGCTTTTTTTTGCGGATGTCCTTTTTAGCGGCTTTTCACTTTAAAATACGGCAAGTGACAACACTCGAAAATGTACAGTGATATATCGCAGATAGCAGAACAAAAAGCTCTTTTTCAGGACATGGAGCTCTTCCTACCGCCATCCCCCACCCCGCCTTCATAGTTTACCTTCTATTTTGTCAATAAAACCACATTAAGCATAGACCAGCTGAACAATTTTATTTATGTTATAATTTTTTTTTTTTTTAAATCAGGAAGTAAAGTGTTCAAAATTCACAAAATCATGGCATCCTGAAATAGAAACAGAATATGAGTAGGGTTTACTTGATGTAATTTTTATCATGTTTTTTCTGATGCAATTTTATTATTTTTTCTGATACCCCTTAATGGGATTTTTACCATAACATTACTACAAAGAGAAAAATGTTTTCTTGCTATCTCAAGAAAAATGAAAAATCTGCCGTATTGGTTATTCAAAAAACTGCTGCAGAACAGAATAAGAAAAGGAAGTATACAAGCACAAGATTTTAAATATGTGTTGTAAAGAATATTTACAAAGGCTCCTTTGTGATATTTGGTGAGCAATAATTATTTGCAGACTGCTAGTTTCCAGTAATGGGAATTTTCCTTTCCACAATCTTATATCTACTGCCATTGGAGGATTGTACAGATGTAAGTGGAAAGACTTTGGCCCATCTGGAGTGATTCAGTCAGGGGTCTTTCTCCATGATTAATGAAAATAGTATTTTTTAGTATCCCTATTAGTTATAGAAGCAAATTGCAATCTTTTAAAAATGGGATCGATGTGGCGGTATTATGGGGGGACTTGTTTATATGTGTTTTCGATAGTCACAGAGCTTTGAGTGAGATCCTATGCATTTTGTCCAGAAGATGCAGAAAGGCTAGATTATGAAGAATGGCAAAGACTGCTTTTATCAGAAGGAACCCGGTAATGCTGTTATATGCGCAGCTACACGCCTGCTCCTTACAATCTCCTAAAACATAACTAGCAGAAAAATAATACAACATGTCATCACTTCAGATATGTACTCATAGTGCTTACATTGGGAAAGTTCTCCCTTTGCTTCTCACAGTGAAGATTGTACCAGTCTTTGTCTCCTATCTGGAGAAAGCTGAAGTGTTGAACCTGAACGTAGTTTCCAGGTCCCTTTATCATACTAACATTAAAGATTATTACACTGTGAAAAGGTATTTTCCAGCTGTTGCTGAGCGAGCCAGGGGGAAGTGTTAATGCTCACTGTTAGAGCATGCTGTGCTTTACTAAGAGCTTGTACAAATGGGGATATGTTCTGGGAAATCTTTTAGTAAGAGCAGATTATGTGAGTGCAGATGCAAAGCAGAAGGATCATGTGCTGTTGCTGCACAGAGTGAAGGTCAGCAAAAGAGCACATGTTCTGCAGATAGTGGAACAGAAAGCTACACAGTCTAGCTGTGTAAGAAGTGGACTTTTGTTTTGTGTAGAGTTTTCTGATTTTGACAATACTTACGTTCCAGAGTGGAATGAAAACAAAAGCATTTCCTGTATATCAAAAAACCCCACATCCTTCAAGCCAATCTAAATACTTCAGTTTGATAAAATCAGGATGTTTAATTATGTTTTAACTTTTTTTTCCACATGCTTTATATTTTCTAGTCTAATTTAATCAAACCTTCCAACAACTATTTTTTATTTGGAAAGGAAGATAGAAATATTCAATTTTGAATAGGCTAAGGTGAAATATTTGGGCTACATCATAATGCTTTTTTTTCAGTTTTCCATTAATAATCAATTTTTGTCGAGGGTAATGCACTTTTGTGAAATGTTTTACTTCTAATGAATTTATATTTCGTAGCAGTACTCACAAGATCCATGCTGTTAGTATTACCAAAGTTCTGATAGATTCTCTCACCAACTTTATAACAGGTTTGCTACATTTAACTTCTTTTTTTTTTTTTTAATTCTGTCTTAAATGAGTCAGGCAATGGGGATTGCATAATTTCTTTGGTATCAGTATTGCCCAGGTTAATTATTCTCCCATGTAAGAGTAGAGGTAAGTAGAGAACTTTCAATGACTAACTTACGATTTACAAGTTTGGATGGCAATATTGGCTTGCACTTCTCAGGAGATGCCACATTCTCTTCATCTGTTACATACTCAAAGTTAATAATAAACATCATTGCTACTCCCTCTTGATTTTTCACTGGAATTATGTGGGTGTTGCAAATGAAGGTAGATCCTGCAGATGGAGAAAAAAAAAGAAATACATAAATGAAAGGAAACCACTGTTTTTTCACTCCAGTATTTCCAGTTACACCAATAAATAATGAAGAATATTTCTTTGAATTTAATGATTGAACATCAAACACATTATTCTTTAATTTAAACAGGAACATTTTCATAGAAAGAAATACATCTTTTGATAATTTATTAGATTATTACCTCTTCCAAAAGATCTCTCCTTTGAAATATCAATTTTACTTTTTGGTTTTTTATTATTTGTACACTGGAAGTACCTATATAGACAGACTTGCGATATGGAGACATTTAGCACCAAAAGTAGCAATGTGAACACTATTCCAACCACAACACTCACGAAGAAAGCAGAACCCCATTCTTCTAAATGTCAAACATTCTTCAAGCTTTTGGTTCTATTATAACAGGATGAATCATGCATTAAATATTTATGGCTGTAAATATATCACTGTTCTTATTTTAGCTCTCAATCCTTTGGGGGCTGTATAATGTTGTTTAGAATCATAGAATCGTTAGGTTTGTGTTAAAAATTATATTTGTTATCTGATCCTATGGGGTTTTATATTCTATCACAACAAAACTTCTGAACTGTGGTAATAATTTTCAATAATTTTCAGAAGTATTTGACTTAACTGTTCTATACAATTTGAAGTATGAATTTAAAAGTACCCTAGTTTTCATATAAATGGAGCATACACAGCTTATACTGAAATGAACAGAAGGTGTAATTTCTCAGCACCTCTAGTACTCAGGGTGTTCTTGTTCAAATGCCTAATTACAGATTTAAAGAATTCTTTTGTGTTAGTTCTTCCAGTATAACTCTTAAGAAGTTTCATGTGACAAAGTCATTAGTTTTGATTTAATTCCTTCTATTAACCTAACAAAATATAGTGGTTCCAAAAAATAATGTAATTGCTGTAAGCAATACGATAACGTGCTAAAAGCTTCATGCAAACACAGATGTGAGATGGTGTCTTTCCATGATGACTAGGGACTGGTTTAATGTACATCATCTGCAATTTATGCATTCAAATGCAGTAATCACTGAAACTTGACAGGGTGTGCAATTTGACAAAAAACGATCCTGATCTGGGTTACACAAGAATAATTCTTTTTTTTTTTTTTTTCCCCTGGCCATTGAGGAGAGAGAGTAAAGATTTATATTATAAACAAGATCAGATTCTGGTTCCTCATAATTAATGTAGTACTTGCTATAATATGGTATATATGGCAGTTTGAGCTATGTATAAAATTGACATGCTGGCCTTTCAAGTTTTGCAGCTGTACCATCAATCCATTTAGTAAAACAGTTAAGCTCTGGCACTTGCCACAGTTGCCATGGTTACAAGCTCAATGACTTTAGTAAACAGAAAATAAGCAATTTAAGACTGTTCCATTAGAGCTAAAAATAGAAGTGCTTCAGGCCAAGTGTTGCAACATAGACTGGTTAAACAGAGGGTCTGAAGAGAATTTAGAAATAATCTTTGTGTTTTTAGCTAAGTAGTAAAAATACATACTGAGTTTAAACAGTCAAAATGATATTTATTGATTTTCTTGGAAGGAAATGCTTACTATTTCACGATATAGACTATGTTTTGACATGCAGATTTATAGGTTGAGCAGATATCCCCCACGTGGACACCTTTAACACAAAGGACTGGAGGTGGGGCTAGGCTGAGGCGTTCATGGCTTTGAAGAACACTGAACTCCAGGGGATCAAATGTTTATCAGTTTTTGCAAACAACGATGACGAGGAGCCTCAGACTTTTTAAAACACTTTCCTACTTTTGAACACAAGGGTGTTTCAGCTTTTGAAATGTTTCCCATAGTGTTAAGTAATGACACTATCTCCCGTTTATGTAGAACATTCTGCTCTCAAGCATTTACAAACCTCATTTGTTCTGGAGCTAGGGATTCACTTCTCTGAGGAGATGCAAAAGCTGTTTAACATTCCACATCTTAAGAATGTGGCAAAAAGAGCATGGGGTTAAAAATTTAAGCTCTGTGTAGAAATATTTTGGGAACAAAAAATGGCAAAGATGCATATCTAGTATAATTCAGTGTAGTTCCTTTGAAGACTAATTGCACCAGTGGGCTAATGAGTCCAGTGTAGTTCATTAGTCTGAAGTTTTTCCAAGACACCTGGCCTTTTTAAGAGGCACAGAATATTTACTTTGTGCAAATGACTGGAATTGAAATTCCGCAACTTAACAAAAATACAATGCCTGTTGCAGTCACAGTTAGTGTTGTCTTTAGTACAGAAACTGTTATCTGCTATCCACTTATCAGTATCTATCTCTATTGAAATGGCAATAAGGAAATACAAAATAACAAGGAACACCCTAGTGTGACTGAAAAATAAGAGCTGGGTACAAGGAAAGAATAATAGCAAGTTCAAAAGATAAGTTTTGAGTTGTTGGAGCTGATGGCAATAAAGAAAGAAATATTAAGTAGTTTGTTTATAAAAGATCTTATTCAGTGTTTGCACTCCGGCATTCCACAGCTTTTCATTGTACCCAGCCTGTTTTCCTTGTTTTGTCTCTATACTGACTATTTGAGAGTAAGAAATGCTTCTGATAAGCAACAAAAATTGTAACGAAGTTTCTGGAATTTGCATTTCTCATCTAATGTCACACAACAAGTGGATGATATAATCACAATAGTTATGAAAAAGATACCTTTGTAATTAATAGATTCAATATCCAGCAATATATCTGGATTTCTTAAAGATTACTACTGAGGAGTAATCATGAAATGTACCTGTTTTGCTGTCTTTCAAGCTGGATATTTTCTTGCCAGCTTGAATTCCATGGTTATAAGGGCTTTTTTTTTTTTTTTTCCCTATGGCATTTTAAAGCCCACTCTTTCATCTAGTTAAATTAGTGGCAAAATATCCATATGTGAAGAAAAGATTCTGCTCCCCTATATGCTGTGTGGATATGATGTATGATTCTGTAGTTATGCATTCAACAATATGATATCAAAAGACCTGTCAGGCTGGTGTGAAAAAAATAACTGCCAAAATGTATACATAAGTGATAATAAATATTTAAGAAAGAAAGATTTAGGATATGTTAGGATTATATAGGTATATATTGCACCATTTGAGTGATTCTGGTGAAGCAATGCCTATTTAAATATCTGGCTGCATAGAGTTTAAAGTTGACTTCCTTCATGAGAGCGGTACAAAGTAGGCACATCAAACCAATTAATTAATTAAGTAAATTAAGTAAAGTGAATTTAATGAAATGAAATGTATGCTCTGGTCTTGGGAAAGGAAAGACTGTCCTGCTTTGCATGGGCATTCAGGAAGGCTGAGGCTGTGGGTTTTGTTCACCATGCCCACCATTTGCCCTTGGCAAATACAAGTAGTAACAAGCCCCTTAGGAGCATATGAAATGCTGGTAACTCAAGTCTTGTTCTCTGGCCCAGACTGCTGTTTATCATCTATTTTGTTGCCAAATGCTGACAGATACAGGACACGGACACGCCCCTTACATGGACCAGTGTGACAGGGTCCCAGGGACTGTGTGGTAGATGAATTAGATGGAAGGCAAGGTGGGAAGGGGGATACAGAATCTTGTGAAATAAGGCTGTCTCTTGCACACTGCTGATAAGACTTTTGCATTCTTGAAATGCCCTGAAGATAAGCCGAATACCCTTACTTGAAGTAGCTTCACATGTGATCTTCTGGAATTGAGACCTTATTCCCTGTTGCTCCATATCTATGTTGACCCAAACTTTAAAAAAAGAAATGGAAACAAGCCAAAAGTTTTTTTTCTGTATGTTGTCAAGATTCTGGTAACAGGTTGAAACCTTGTTTTAGCAAGCAAGGGCTCCCATCAAGCTATGAGTGGTGGAGAAGAATGACACCTGAAAATGACTAGTTGTAATTTGCTAATGAGACCAGTAAAGCAAAGCACCTTGTATCTTTGAAGGGTTAGAAACAAAGAAAAGGAAATTGGAAGAAAAGCAGTATCCAGTGAATATTTGCTTTGCCTTGTGTGATTTCTGTGACTTATCACTGAAGAAAGTCCTTTTCTTTTATGCTTAAAATTCAGAAGCCTATTTACCTCCAATGTGAGGTCCACTCTAAGCAAACAGGGTACTTAGTTGACCTTTTGTTGGCATTTAGGGACAATTGCACTGAGGATGTGTAGTGAATATTCAAGCAAAAGCCAGTTTGTCAAATATTGAGGGATGATGTGTATTGTGATGTGGGGACTCACCATGACCAATCAAGGGCTGAAAATCTATTCCCTTGTGTTTCCATTCAAGCACAAGCCAGGAATAATGCAGCACGTCACAGGGAATCTTGTTTTCAGTAGACTTATTGGAAAGGTTTGCTTTCTTTCTCAAATTATACTAAGAACTCTATTCCTGTAGTGTTAAGTTGAAAACAGTCATGTGAAGATCCTGCAGAATTTCACATGACATTATGTTAAAGGACTCCAAATGCCTTTGCAAGCTCATTTCTAAGTCAATTAAAACTAACTATTTACTAACAGATTTTCACAACTTAGTCTGCTTGTTTCTATAATAAAAATGAGTGGAAGAGTGGCTGAATCTTCCCTGAGAAAATTGCCTAGCTCTTAGTGATGTAGAATCATATCACTGGAGACAGATACCACATAGCTACTTGCTCAATTCAGTAACAACCCCATGAAAGAAATATCAGACAAATATGTGTGTCTGTTTTACCTGCAGCTCTTTGCATCTTTGCACTTGATGTCATTTATTCAGATCTTTGGAGACATCTGAACTGTAAAGACCCTGTTTAAATTTTGTCAGAACTTTGGCTCTAAAAGAAAAAAAAATCACTGTTGCGTGTTCCTTCCCTCCCTGCCCCCCATTTGTTAGGTAGCTGCACAAATGAGGAATAGGAGGAAACTCGATGCTAAGACTAAAGATGATAATATTTGTACCCATAAAAAGCATCTATTCCAGGAATCTCAGGCTGCATTGCAAACATTTATCTGTTGC